TCATGCCAAGAGGTTACTAACCAGGTGGCAGATCACACTGGTACCCTTCGTCAAGCCTCACTCACTTGACTTAGGCTTAACCCGTGTGAACCCTGCTACATGTTCCATGGCGACTCCTATCTGGAGTTCGTCTGGCTGTCCTGCCGGCCGGCCGGCCCGGGCGAGTCGTGCGTGGTCACCGGGCCGAGCACGCGAGGCAGCGTGTCGGGCCGGGTGCTGCCGCTGGCCCGGCGCCTGGACGCGCGCCACCTGTACGTGACCGACGAGTACCTGATGACGCAGTTCATCCGGGCCAATCCCGAGGACCGGTCGTTGAATTATGTGTGGATCCCGGCGTCGGACTTGCTGCCCCTGCCGGGGGGGTGGATCTTGCAGGTGACCGACAAGGTGCGCGTCAGCGCCGGGCCGATGGGCCTGCTGTTCCACGATGAGCCGCGGTGGATGCCCGACGGCATTCACGGGGCCATGGTGCCGGAGGGGTCGTCCGGCGTCAAGTACCGCGGGATCCTCCTCCCCCGAGGGGCCGAGGCAGGCCCCGGCCAGGAGGCGGACCCCCCGGCCGGGGAGCTGTTCCTGGTGGAGGACATGTGGTCGGCCGCGTGGGATGTCATCCATGTGGCGGGCGGGGTGCCGCCGACCGGGCATGCGCGGTCGCGAGCGGCCGGCACGCGGCAGCACCGGCTCGGCATGCTGCCCCAGGCGCCGCGGCTCGGGCCGGAGGAGCCGCCGCGATCCCGGGTCTTCGGGGTCCGGCTGGCCGGCGGATCGCCCGAGTACCCCAGCGCGCTGGTGCTGCTGTCGAAGAAGTACATCGGCATGTCGGTGCTGTGGTGCCGGCCGGGCGGCCGGGCGGCGTGCGTTCTCCTGCCGGCCACCTTCGCCGACTTGCCGGAGGAGCTCCAGCTCGACGAGCAGGCACCGCTGTGGGTGGAGCCGGTGGTGCACACCCCGGCGCGGGGAACAGTCCATGGGGCCGGCCTGCTGGCCACCCTGCTGACCTATTCCCCGGGGGCCGGGCTGGTGTATGTCACCTTGCGGGTGCCCTGCCCGCCGGGGACCGCCGGGCTGTACTGCCTGCCCTGCCACTCGGAGTGTGTGGAATGCTGGGCCCCCGGCGACTCGGCCGCATGCACGCAATGCCCCCCGGGGAAGCTGCTGGCCCTTGGGGGGGGCCTGTGCGGGGACACCTGCGCCGGGGACGCCATGCCCGGGCAGGGGCCCGCCCAGGGCACCTGTGTGGCCTGCTTGCCGGGCACGGCCGGCAGCGGCTGTGGCCCTTGTGACCCGACATGCCTCGAGTGCTCGGCCCCCGGGGACCCGTATGCCTGCACAAGCTGCCCGCCGGGGCGGCTGATGTCGGCCAGCACCGGGGCATGCCTGCTTGACTGCTCCCGGGGGACCATGCCGGGCATCGGCCTGGCGGCGGGCACGTGCGTTTCGTGTCCGGCCACCTGCCGAGCCGCCCGCTGATGCGGCTCCCGGCTCTCGGGGCACGCATGCATTCGCCCTGGCCGGGGCACGGCGACGCACTTGACGGGTCCGTCGCTGGTGGCTGGGCATCGGGCGGTCGCGGTGGCTTTCCCTGTCCCTGTCTCGCCGGCTGGGCTCACGCTCGCTTATGGGGGGGGGCCGGGCATCGGGCCCACGCCCGGGCCCAGGGTGTTCGGGCAGCAATACACAACTGTCGGCCCGTGACAAAGGTAGCTCTGTAGGGCAAGAACCCGGGGGGGGGGGGCCGGGTGGCACATTGGTCAGCGTGCCCCCTCACGGCCCGCGGTAAGGCCCACGGTTGTGTGGCCGCTGGCTTGCATATCGGCCAGCCTCCGGTCGATCGATCCCGGTACCCGGGGCATGGGGCTCGGTACATTCCGGCGGGGGCCCAGTTGGGTTTTCCTCCCGGCAGCCATGGGTCGGCAAGTGGCTTTTTTCGCGCCGGCGCAGGCTCACCTCCACTCGTCAAGGCCGCTGCAGCGGCGGGCCCTGGGCGGGCATCAGCCGGGCCCGGCCACAAGAAGGGTAGGCCCGTTGCCGTGGGGGGACCCGGCACCCAGCGCACTCCTGGCAAAGAGGGGCAGGAGCATGGGAGGCAGCGTGTGGCCACCATCCGGTCCGGCTCCGAAAGATGATCCAGCGAGGAGGGGCCGTTTTTGGGCGTGTGTTTATTTTCCCGTCGAGTGGGCCGAAAGGGAAACCCGGATGCCTGCCGAGCTTTGGCGCCCGGCAGGCGGTCTCCGACGCAGGCGTGACCCTTCGCCTGGCGGCACAGGCTCGCCAACCGCCGGGTCGCCGATTCGCGTGCGAGGATGCCGGCGGCGCGTGGCAACCGACCGTGGGAGGCGACTCGGCGATCGCATGCATCCATCGGGGCGCGCTGGTGCCGGCCGGAGCCGCGGCCTATGTTTGATGCATGGCCAGGGAGGACGAGTCGGTCCGTGTGCAAGGGAGGTCCTCGGCCCCGGTTGTCCGGAGGTCGCATGGGCTGGCGGCCGACACACCGCCGTGCGGGGGTGCTTCTGACGGAGGAGGTGCCATGCCGTGTGACCCGCCCACCGGCCGGGCTCGCACACACGCACACATCTGATGAGGCCCTGCCAGTGGAGACATAGCGGGGTGCTCCCTGCCGGTCGCGGGTAAACAGCCTGCCACCGCTCGAGGGAGGCGGCGTGGGCCGGGAGCCCCGCTGCCTCGCTGCGGCGCGGGAGGGGCTTGTGCATGATCCCACGCCGGGAGCCAGTCGGTTTTCTTGTCAAGAAAGACGGGCAAATGAGCATGTGGATGCATTTGCCGCGGGTCAGAGGCTTGCTCGGGGGGGGGGGGGGGGGTGGGGGGTTATGGGACCCGGGAAAGGGGGCCCGGATTGGGGCGTGGGACAGGGGATGGCATGGGTCAGCGAGGTCGGTCGGGTGGCGTGCCTGCGGGTGAAGTGTCTTGCCGGGCGATGAGGGGCGGATGGCCCGGGGCTGGCCCCGGCGCGCGGAGATAGGGCCCCTCGTCAGGGGGCGCCCCTCGATGGGGGCTCACCGTGGGGGGGAGCTCGGGGAGCTCCGGCACTAGGGGCTCGCAGTGCCAAAAGGACACACGCCCTCGACCATACTTAGGGTGAGGCCGCGGGGATGAAAAAAACCCGTGGCGCCTGCGGGTGGCGAGGGCAAGCTCGCACACGATGCTGGTGGAGGGCGGCATGGTGGGCGGGGGGGCCTCTCATGGGGGACGACGTTCGGCGCCGATGGCCCACCGAGGCTGTGCTTGTCGGGCATGAGACAGCTCTCGGCCGGATGCGAGGGGCTCGCTGCTTCGAAGAGTGACCAGGAGCCGGACATGTGGGTGGTGCGCCGGGGCGGACGCCACTGCGCGGCGATTCAGATGGGCACACCGGTGGCCTTCGCACTTGTGCGGAGGGGATTACGCCCTGGCACAAGGTTGGCACTGTGCCGAAGATCCTCCCCCCCCCCCCGGGCAAGAGATGTTGGTCGACGGTGCGGCCCGGGGGCCGGGCGGACGCGGGGCCTTTCCCGGGGGCCGCCACACACCCGCATCCGGCCAACGCCGGGGCATCGGCACATACAAAGGGGGACCGCAAGGCCCCGAGGCCCGGGTGCCAAGCATGCGGGTGGGTGCCCGAGGTCGTGTCCTGGATGGACGGCCTGCCGGGCAGGCTTCGATGCCCGGTAGGCACGGCTCCAGTCGATGATTGACCGGCGATGGGCAGGGAAAGGCCGCAGCTGCAGGGGCTCGGGGGCACAGCCTGGCTGGGCGGCTTGGGCGAAGGCCGATCCGCAAGATCCAAGATCCCTTGGCCGAGGGAAGGATGCTGAGGAGCCACCAAGACCGGGGCCAATGTTGTTGCCGGTGACGGCCCCCCGGGCATGACCTGGCGACCCCATGGCAAGGGAATAATAATCGCCCGGGCGACGAGCTCCCCATCTCCGGGTATATGGGCACGATCTTGGCCTCTTTGGCCCTGAGGGGGTGCGAGGAGGCCTGGGTGGGCGGCTGGGGAGGGCTGCACATCCCCGGCCGCGGGCGCTCGCCGGAGGGCACCCGGAGGCTGGGCTCCCGTTCGAGAGGCAGGGCGCGGACGCGCCGCGGCGAGGGCTGGGTCATCGAGTCCCCAGGGCGGTGTCCTGCAACTGGGGGCACCGCATCGGTGGGTGCCGGGCACAGCGTGCACCGTGCGCCGGGACATGGCTGCAAAGCGTCGACCGGCAGCCCGCGGAGCGCGGCCCCGGCCCCGTATGCCGAAGGAAGCCCGCAGACTGGCAGGCAGCCGGAGCCCGGCTTCTAGAATGCCGGTCAGGAGCCCTTCCAGCCGCAAGCACTCACCCACAGGCAGCGTACCCTTGTGGGAGGGGGGGGGGGGCTTTGTCGATCGGGGAGGTGAGAGGGGGGGGGACGCATGCGCGGAAGGGATCGGGTCCTGTGACAGCGACAATGAAAGAAGCATGCAAGCAATGCAACAAACCGACATATGCCGGGGTCCACGAGGGGCGGGGGGCGGGGGGCATCCATCCGGCATGCAGGCGCCGGGGATCACGGAGGCCGGTGCTCGAGCTGCCACATGGGTGGCTGGCTGTGTCGCCCGAAGGTGCGGTGCCAGCCCGGGAGCATGTCCGATCCCGGCGGGCCGTGGTGGGGGCAATGTGCACCTTGTTTCAAGCATCCCAACATGGTCAGGACACTCGGGATGGGGGAAGGGCGATGCCGCCCTCGGGGCCCGATCGCCAGGCCAGGCTTGATACGGAGGGGGGGAAGTTGGGGAAATGCCCGGAAAAAGGCCCTCCCCCCGACGGCGCGCCTCCTAGTTGGGGGTCCATGCTCGGGGCAGATGCCCGGGGGCTCCTCGTCCGGCCTCGCGCGGGATCGAATGCAGCCGGTTGCCGGGCGTCTTGCCTGCTGGATGCCTCGTCGGCCCGGGCCGGGGGCCCACAAGAAACCGGGTGTGCGCGAGGGTGGATCCCGGCAGCCCGTCGTCCAAGAGGGTCGCCCATGGGGAAGACAGCCACCATGTAGACTTGGCGCGAGAGCGGTGATTTCCGCGAGCCCGGCCCCTGTGCTCCGCTGTCCTGGACACTGGGTGTGGGATGGGCCCAGGGCCGATCGTGGGCTTGCCCGGTTGGGAGGACGACCGGCCGTGGGTGTGATCGTGTCCGACATGTGGCACTTCGGGGGGTGGGCCCGCATGAGCACGCACATGGGCAGGAATGCCGAGCCGTGCGCCCTCGCGGGCCCCGCCGGTCGGCCCGTGGTTCAGCAACGCGGGGAACCCCCTTCGGGGCCTCTCATCCGCTCGGCACCGGGCGTCGGTGAATCGGCTCAAGTGCGGCGCCCAGCCCGACACCCCTGCCGGCGGAGGGGCCTCGGAGGGCTTCTTCCTGCAGACCAGTGCTCGGCCCGAACAGCCCTGCCACCACCCGGCTACTGAGTGGCCCGGCTGGGGTGGTGTTCGCCCGCCGGGGCCAGCCCTCTCCCCCGGGCAAGTGCTTTTTCGCATGCGGCCAGCCGGCAACTCTGTCTCGGGGCGGGCGGGCGGACGGGCGAGCGGCTTTGCTGCCACTGGGCTCGGAGACAATGGGGTGCCTGCAAGGTGGCGGACATTTTTATTGTGCCAAGAAGAGCGAGTCAAGGAAAGAACCGCCAGCAGGCGGCCTGAGATGTCCATGGCCGGGGCAGGCCGAGCGGGGGGGGGGGGATCTCGACAAGCGTCAGTGCCCCGCCAGGCGGGCCAGGTCGGCCGCCACATCGGCGGCGCTCGGGCGGGCTCGGGGATCCCCCACCCATGCCTTTTCATAGACACGGCGGAAGTCGGGCAGCCATGCCGGCGGGTGGTCCTCGTGGGCGAGCAGGTGAGCTGGGACCACGGCATCCGGGCGCGTGCCTCCGATGACGGCGTGGGTGATTTCGTCGGCCTCGGCACCTGGAGAGCAACACAGGCAAGCGTGAGACGGGGTGCGGGAGGGGGGCGCGCGGCGGGCCCGGGGAGGGGGCATGGTGGGCATGGCGGGCAAAGGGGCGCCAATCGAGGGACGAACGCACCGCTCCATGGCTGAACCGGCGCCAGGAGGCTGTAGAGCAGCACCCCGAGGGAGAAAATGTCCACCTTCAGCTGGGACGCGATGTCATCCTCGGCCGGGGCCAGGGCAAAGGGGACGCCGCGCAGCCGGGCCAGCGTCTCCGGCGGGGCGAAGGGCACACTGCCGGCGGCCACATTGCCGAGGGTGGGGATGACGGAGAACCGATTGAGCACGAGCGCCACGCCGAAGTCCCCGATGACCGGGCGCAGGTGGCTCGGGTTCTCGGGGTCCGGCTGGAGGAAGATATTGCCCGGCTTGAGGTCCTTGTGGGCGATGCCGCGGGCGTGGATGAAGGCCACCCCGGCGGCTGGGTCGAGCGGGTCAGTGGTGGCCCGGGTGCGGCGGACGCGCATGACAGGGGGCAGGAGAGGCGGGGGGGGGGGGGGGGGGGGGGGGGGGGGGGGGGGGGGGGGGGGGGGGGGGGGGGGGGGGGGGGGGGGCGCACCGATGTCCGCGGCCAGGCGCAGGGCCTGGGCGTGGCCGAAGGCCGACGGCCAGAGCAAGTCCTCCAAATCGCCCGGGTAGTGCGGCATGATGAGCGCCCGCGTGGGGGCGGCCGTGTAGCCGAGCATGCGGCATACGAAGGGGCACCCGCCGTCCGCCAGGAGGATGCTGCAGAGGGTTGCCGGGCGAGTGAAAGGTGGCAATGACGCGGGTCGGGTGCGTGTTGGATGGGGCAACATGAGTGAGTGTGTATCTGTGTGTGTGTGTGTGTGTGTATCTGTGTGTGCGTGTGTGCGTGTGTGCGTGCGTGCGCGTGTGTGCGTGTGTGGGTGTGCGAGGTTCAATGGCACGCACCCGAGGATGGCGATTTCCTGGTCCAGTAGCGGTTCAAATTGCGTGCGAAAGGGCAAGTCTGAAATCCGAGGGCGCGGACGGGAGGGGGGGGGGGCGAGGCGAGAGCATTGTCAGTGCATGGGCTCCACCAGAGGAGGCGGCTTGCCCTGTGTGGCTTGGGGCTGTCGCCGGCTTCGACCGGGGCTTCTCTTGGCTGGCGGTGCGGTCACGCACCGGGGGGGACCATCTTGACGGCCCCCTCCGAGCCGCCGGCGAGGGTGCACAAGTCGGCACGGAGGAGCGTGCACGGCAGCACCACGGCCTGGGCGCCGCGGCCGAGCTCCTTGCGGGTATGCTCGATGCGGTAGTCGAATTCCGGGCTCAGGGTCAGGTGCCCAGGCAGGGAGAGCTCTGCAAGGGGGCATGGGGGGCAGGTCCGCGGGGGAGGTGAGTTCATTGGCAAGTTCCGGCACGAGCGCAGGGCCAACGACCGGGCATACGCACCGACCATGGTGTTCATGACGGTCAACTCCTCCTGTGGCATGGGGTGCATGGCAGGCCCGGCGGGCCGGCCCAAAGGGGCGGCGTGGGGGGGAAGTGCCGGATCCATGCGCAAGAGGGCCGCGGCGGGGGGCGAGGGGGTCCGACCCCGGGGGCAACCCACCCGGCAAGGGGACACGCGCGTCCGATCCCCGGCGAGTAGCCCAACAGGAGTCCAGCCAAGAGGCGCTCGGTCAGTCGGGGCGGGGAAGCATACATGCGCGGTCGGACATCGAGCCCATGCGAGCGGGCGGTGCTCCGGCCGACGTACCGGATCGCCGATGCGTTGCATGGGGATGGATTCGGCCCCCTTGGCGGCCGGCTGCCAGCGACGGTGCCGCCAACACAGGAAGAGCACCAGGCCGGCCAGCATCAGGAGCAGAAGCAGCACCGCGGCCACCGGCACGACGATGTACAGGAGGAGGGAGCGCGAGCCTGGACCCATGCCGGGGAGGGGGGGCATGCCGGGGGCGGGTTAGCGGTCGGGCGTGGTGCCCCATGAAAATTCTACCAACATCGCGAGGAGCCTGCAAGTGTCGAACGTACCGGACTTCGGGCAGCCGCCGGGCAGGCCGCACCCCGGGTCCAGGCAGCCATCGGGCCCCGGGCCGGAGCACACCTCGCACGACAGGTCGCAGGCGTGGCAATTGAGCCGGTCCTTGTCCGGGGCGAACCACCCGTCGGGGCATGTGGCAATGCATGTGCGCGGCCCGGTGCCCTGGGGCAGGGCGGCGGTCGGGTGGCGGTCCGACAGGCGGATGGCCCGGAGGTCCGGCTGGCACTGGTCGCAGTCGGCCGGCGCCGCGACACACGACAGGCACCCCTCGGCGCAGGGGAGACACCGGGCGGCGGGCATGGCCTGCGAGTGCCAGCCCGCCGGGCACGCCTGCCCCGGGTCGAGGCAGACCCCGAGGCCGACCAGCAGAAAGCGATCGTCGATGCACCGGTGGCAGGCCGACGGCTCGGGCCCAGTGCATTGGGCACAGTCCGCCGGGCAGGGCTGGCAGATGTCCCCCCCGGGCGGGGTGGGGTCCGGGCGGAAGAAGCCGGCCGGGCAGGCGACCAGGCAGCCGGTGTCATGGTGGAGCACCCGGCCCGGGCGGCAGGAGGTGCAATGCTCGGGGCCGGGGCCCTCGGCGCAGGTGGCGCAGTCCGGATGGCAGGCCAGGCACCGGGCCGGGAAGAGGGCCACCGGGTACTCGCCCTCGGAGCAGCTGGTGACGCAGGTGCCGGGCTCGGTGCCGAGATGGCGGCCGGCCGGGCAGGAGGTGCAAAAGTCCGGGCCGAGCTCGCACTGGGCGCATGCCGGGTCGCATGCCAGGCACTGGGCCCCGTGCGGGAGGAAGCCCCGGCCGCATGTCGCCACGCACCCATGCGCCGGGTGCTGGACCAGGTCCCCGGTGCAGCGGGAGCATTGGTGGCTGGCGGTGCCGGTGCACTGGCGGCAGTAGGGCCCGCAGGGGGTGCAACTTTGCTCGGCATCGGGGAAGGTGCCGGCCGGGCAGGCCGCCACACAGGCGCCGGCCCACAAGCCGGGCCTGGGCGCCGCGCAGGCGGTACACTGGTCGGCCGCCGGGCCGGCGCACGCGGCGCACGTGGCGTCGCAGGGGACACAGGTGCCCGACAGCGAGGCGGTGCCCGGCGGGCAGGCGGCCAGACAGCGGCTCTGGTGGAAGACATCCGTTCGGCGGCAATGCTGGCACTGGTCGGGCCCGGGCCCGGAGCAGGTCAGGCATGAGGCATCGCACGCGTGGCACGCCTGGCCCTCCGGGAAGAACCCATGCAGGGGGCAGGCGTCGCGGCAGAACCCCCGGTCCAGGAGGAAGCCCGCCGGGCAGGCGGTGCAGGCATTGGCCCGGTGGCCGGAGCACTGGGCACAGGTGGCGTGGCAGGGCAGGCAGCCCCCGTCATCCGGGTGGGGGTAGGTGCCGGGCGGGCAGGCATCGGCACACTGGCCGGCTGGGGTGAGGCTCCAGCCGGGCAGGCACATGAGGCACTGGTTGGCATTGGTCGGGTCGCATGCCTGGCAGCCGGGGACATTGCACGGGCAGTCGGGACAGTCGGCCGGCAGGCAGGTCCCCTCCGGCTGGAGCAGCCAGCCCTCCGGGCAGGAGGTGCAATCGGCGGCCAGCGGCCCGGAGCATGTGGCACACCGCCCGGCGCATGGGTCGCATCCGGCCGCCTGGGGGAAGGTCCCCTCCGGGCAGCTGGCCAGGCACATGGTCCCCTGGAGCAGGAGCCCCGGGGCGCAGGCGAGGCACTCGTGCTCGGCCGGGCCATGGCACGCGGCGCAGGAGGCATGGCACTGGATGCACTGCTGGCCGGAGGGGCCGACTTGCAGGTGGCCGGCGCAGGCGCGGCACATGGCACCCGGGTCGGCGGTCACGCAGGACAGGCAGTCGGCCTCGGCGCAGGGCAGGCAGCGGGCATCGCCGGGGGCACTGGCCGGCCCGGTGCCCTCGGGGCAGGCGCGCACACATTCGCCGGCCGGGCTGAGCAGCCAGCCGGCGGCGCAGGCGATGCACTGGTCGGGCCCGGGGCCGGTGCACCCGGCGCAGGCCATGTCGCAGGAGCGGCAGGGCCCGGGCAGGCCGCCCGGGAGGAAGCGATTCCCCAGGCAGGCGGTGCATTGCGAGGTGGCCGGGCCGTTGCAGGTGTGGCAGGTGGCCGCGCAGACATCGCACCGGCGCCCGTCGGCCGAGGGGGCGAAGCCCGCGGCGCAGCTGGCCACGCAGATGCCGGCCTGGAGGCGCATGCCCGGCGGGCAGTCGCCACATAGCCCGGGCCGGGCGGCCGAGCAGGCGGCGCAGGTCCCGTGGCAGGAATCGCACCGGGCCGGGGTGGCCCGCAGGCCGGTCTGCTCGTCGGCCACGGGCAGCAGCCCCGGCTGACAGCCGCACGCCGAGGCCCCGGCCTGCATGCCGCTGGGGCAGACACAGTCGTCGGTGCCGCGCTCCGGCTCGGCATGCTCGATGCACTGGCAGGAGCCGGTGGTGGGGTTGAGCATGCGCCCGGCCCCGGTGCACCGGCAGCCATGGCCCAGGGAATCGAGCTCGGCCCCGGGCGGGCAAGAGGCGTCGGCCACATCGCCGCGGCTGAAGACCGTCAGGGTGCCCGGGGCGCCGGGCTCGGCCGGGGCCTCCATCTGCACGATATCCAGCAGGCCATCCTGGTCGACGTCGGCCAGGAAGACGGTCGGCCGGGCGGCCACCATGGCGGCCGAGGGGCCTTGGGCATGGGCCTGCCCCGGCAGGAGGACCACCCGGCGGAAGGACGTGTGAAGGATGTCCTGGGCGATGTAGGCCACCAGGCGCCCGGAGAGCGGGTAGTGCAGGACAAAGTCCAAGATCCCATCGTCATCCACGTGCAGCGCCTGGAGGACCACATCCTCGGAGATGGGCTCCCGCTCGAGCACGCGCAGGGGACACTCATAGGTCGGGCGGCCGGCGTGGCCGGGGGGGGCTTCTTCGTCGCCGCCGCCGGTGCTGCCGCTGGGGCCGCTGGCGGAGCTGGCCGCCGGTGACAGCGGCAGGCTGAGGCAATTTTCGCTGCGAATGCACCCCACGTCCATGAGGACAATGCTGTCGGGGAGACCGTCGGCCCGGACGAGGGCCACATTGTCCCAGTGGTCCTCGTTGCCGAGCGTGAGGACGGTATTGGTGATGTGGCGGTCCGAGGGGTGGAGCAGCCACAGGCACGGGGCATAGGGGCCGAGGATGATGGCCGGCCCATCGTCCGGGTGGCCCGGGGCCAGATCGCGCAGCGAGTGCACCAGGAGCAAGTCCCTTCCATGGTCGCGGTAGCCGGTGGCCGGCCCGGGGGAGGGCCAATGCCAGGGCAGGCCGCCCGGCCCGGCCGGGGGGGATAGCTCCAGCAGGAGCAGGTCACAGAGTTGGAAGGGCCCTTGCGCAAGGGGCAAATAGGACCGCGGCAGCAGGAGCACCTCCTGGCGCCGGCCCGGGGCCGGAACATGCACCAGGCGCAGGCCGTAGTCGCCCAGGCCGCCGGCCAGCGAGGCGCCATCCAGGAAGGCCTCCTCCTCCGGGTAGGGCAGGGCGAAGTAGGAGAAGGAGCAAGAGGCCATGGCCTGGGTGGGGGTGCTCATCTCCGAGTGGGCCGCGATGTCGGCCATGACCAAGTGCGACTGGGGCTCCACCAGCCGGGCATGGATGTCACACACCTGGGGGGGGGGCTTGTCGGCCAGGATGGAGGGCGCCGGCGGCCGGCCGGGTCGAAGCTCCCACACCAAGATCGTGCGGGCGCCCCGGTGGGTGACAAGCTGCTTGGCCAGCCCCGGGGGGAGGGCCGAAGCCTGGGCCGAGGCCGATGTGGCGGCGAGTGCCTCGGGCGGGGGCCGCGACACGGCCTCGAACCATGGCCGGGGGGCCGGTATCGCCGGGCGCGCCGGGATGGCCCCCGCCGGGATGGTGTCCCAAGTCTCGGGGACCGATGCGCCAGAGGCCTGGGCGGTGATGGCACGCTCGCCGGAATGGCCCGGCTCCGGGAACCGATGGGCCGGGGCTCGCGCGTCCGAGCCATGAGGCCCGACGGATTCGAGGCGGACGGTCCAGCCCGTGCAATAGTCGCGCATGCCCTGGAGCACATGGCCGGGGCGCATGGCAGCCGGGGCGGTCGGCTGGCCGTCCGGGTGGAAGTCGGCCGCCGGCAGGAACCACTGCTCGGCGACGCCGGCCTCGGGCGCACGGGCCAGATGGAGATATTGCCCGGGGCCGAACATGGGGGCCACATGGTGGCCGGGCGAGGACCGGATCGCCCGCAGGGGGGACACCTGCACCGGGACCATGGCGGCCCAGGCCGGATGAACCGGCACCCGATGGGCCGGCAGCCAACTGTCCGCCAGGGTGGCGGCCTGGCACCGGGCGGCGGCCAGGATGACGGCATCCGGCCGGTCGCACTGGCGGGCACATTGGCCGGCTTCGGTCACCAGGAACCCCGGGGCACAGGACACACACCGGTGGGCCAGGCATTGCAGGCAGTGGTCGGGCGTGCATGCCGGGCATTCGCCCGGGGGGCTTTCCTCGCCTCCGTGGCCGATGCACAGGCTGCACGGCTCGAGGCCGGTCAAATCGGAGTGGTCGAAGATCGGCGGGCATTGGCAGAAGGCCCGGGCGCCCAGTTGGGTGGGCAGCTTCGGGCACAAGCTCCAAGCATGGGGGCCCTCGGGCCGGGGGTCGACCGACTGAGGGCAGACATCGGTCTCGAGCCAGGCGTCGGGCGACCGGCACTGGCCGTCGGCCCCGCAGCCGCAGCCATTTTCCGGGGTCCCCTCGCGGAAGAGGGTCCCCCTGCCGGTGTGGTGGTTGATGAGGGCCACCTCCGACCGGCCATCCAGCTCCACATCCAGGACCACCAAGTCCACCGGGGCCCACTCGAAGGGCAGGAAGTTGGCCCACCGGGTGACGGCCGGCTGATGGGTGACGGTGAGGGCGTGGGTGCCGGGGTGCTGGTCGAAGGCCAGGTGCACCACGTGCAGCCAGTTGCCGGTCCACAGGAAGAGCCGCGCCCGGCCGGGCTCCATGGTCCGGGGGTCGACCGCGGCCGCCAGCCGGTCGGTGCCTTGGCGACCGGAGTGCAGGTCGCCCAAGGTCAGCACCGGCAAGGGGGCGCGGAAGTCCGGGCGGAAATCGCGCCCGGTGGCCGTGTTCCGGAGGAGGAACAGCACCTCCAGCGAGGAGGGCCCCGGGGAGTGGGGGATCAGGAGCAGCGGCGGCCGCGTGGTGCCGGCCCCCGGGAGCAGGGGGACCAGGCGTCCGCATGGGAGCGCCGGCAGGAGGACCCTCCCATCCAGCTCCGAGCTGGTGATCATCGGGTGGCTAAAGGCCTTCGGGTACCAAATGAGCTGGCAACCAGCCTCCGGCGTGGCCAGGTAGGGGTCAAGACTGACCAGGGCCAGCAGGGTCTCAATGCCGAAGTCATTGTCCACGGCATGCCAGAGGGCCGAGTGAATGGCCTCGGTGGCGATGCGCTGCGAGCCGAAGGAGGGCCCTGACACCGCATGGAGCATGGGGGTCCCGGGGCCGGCCGGGCTGCCGGAAGTCCGGCCGACGGACACATGTGCCGGCTCGTGAATGGGCGCCATCCGGGCCCCATGCTCATGGCACATGCGGGCGCTGAGGGGATTGCCCCAGTCGCACAGGAAGACCGAGCTCCCGAGGGCGGTGGCCAGGGCCGGGTTGCCGTACTTGGCAATGGGCCGGGTGGCGGCGATGCTGTCGGCGGTCGAGATGGAGGAGTAGACCCCCCGGCGGGGGCCTTCCCGGAAGGACACCAGGCCTTGGATGAATCCGTTGTTGAGGAAGCCGATCCCCTCGGCCGAGGGCCGACTGCGCAAGTGCAGCATGCTGCGCTGCTGGGCCTCGACAAGGTCCAGCAACTTGTCCGAGTAGGTGCCAGTCCAAAGGGCGACCACCGGCCGGCGGCACTCTTCGGGCGCCATGTGGCCGGGGCAGGCGTCGAAGCCGAAAGACCCCTCCAGGAGGGCCTCGTAAAAGGGCCGCGTGGGGGGGGCGCGCACGATCGTGACATCGGGCCCGGGCTCCGCAACGCAGGCGCCATTTCGCAGGGGCCCATTCTCCGGGCATGACAAGCACTCGAGGGGACCGGGCCCGGAGCAGGTTTCGCAGGACCCGTCGCAGGGCTGGCACTCTCGCACTTCGGGCAGGGCAGGCCCCGTGGGAAAGTCGGCAGCCCCGGGGGTGGGGGTGGTGGGGGGGGGGGGCGGTCGGCCGGTGAGCCCGACCAAGGGGTGCCAGGCGCAAGCCACAGGGCCCCGGGGGCGGCCATGCGGAGGCCATTTGAGGTAAGGAGGCGTTCGGCAAGTCGAAGACACAGGCGGAGGGGGGGGGGGTGTCAGTGGCGGCCGGGGCCATGGCATGTGCTTAGCAGGGCGGGAGGAAGGCGTCAAGGAGGTCCGGATGCATGACGCAGGGACATGGCCCGGGGTGCCCCTTGCGCCAGGACCATGATCGAGTGATTCCCGGGAGGCGGGGCCGCAAGGGCAGCAGCCACCAGGCGCACCGTCGGCCCGGAAGAAGCCCACCTCGCAGAACTCACACGGAGCAAGGTAATCCTCCAGGGCATTGGGATCGTCACATTCGCATGTGGGCGCGGCGTAGAAGTCGTCCAGGGCCGGGGCGCACCGAGCCCACGGGCCGCAGAGGCAATTCGGCGAGGCGGCCTCCAGCGACAGGAGGAGGATGCCCCCGCTGTGGGCCGAAGTAGCCATGGCCAGGTCGGGGGATCCATCGGCGTCGAAGTCCCCCACGGCGAGGTCCATCCAGCCGCCATACCGTTCGAGGGGCAACTCCGGCAGCAGGGCCCGGCCGTCGACATCGGCCAGGGAGAGGAGCAATCCCGGGCCGGGGCTCGGCCGCACCGGGCCCGGGATCAGCCACACCCGAGTGCCATGGGCCACGATGATGCTCGTGTGGTCGGGATGTACCAGCTTCGGGGCCGGGGCGGCCTTCGGCTGGCGACTGGTCTGCGGCGGCTCCAGGAGCCCCGGATCGCCGGCGGTCATGTCGGCCAGGGACACATGCACCGGGAGGGCCATGTTGGAGGACAGGAAGAAGATGATGCGCTCGGTGAGGGTGGACTCGAGGCCGGAAATGATGGCCACATCGGTGGCGAGGCCATCGGCGTCAAAGTCCCCGACGATGATTTTCCCGGCCCGGAAGCCCGACGGCAGTCGGTACAGCAGGGAGACGTCGCCCAGGGATCCGGGGCCGACCGGGCGGGCGATGTTGCTCAGCCAGTAGATGGACTCCGGGCCGTCCGGCTGCAGCGGCAGGGTGGCCACAAACACCGCGTCCACTTGACCGTCATTGTCGAGATCGGTCGGCGTCAGCAGCCGGATGTTGGCCAGGCCGAAGTTGTCCTGCTGCTCGGTGTCCTGGCCGCCGAATGCCAAGGCTCGGCTCAGGATGGCATCCTGGTGGATGGTCAAAAGTTGGGGGTCCATGCGCCGGGGATGGTGCGAGTCGAATGCGAGCATCGGCTCCCGGCCCCAGAGGGTGAAGAAGGTGGCTCCGCCGATGCCCTGCAGGATGACATCCGAGTCGACTTGCACCAGGGACTCGTACACCTGCGAGGCGGCGGGGACCTGGGTCGGCTTGAGGACCAGCGGCCCCGGGCCGTTCGGCGCAAAGGGATGCACCCCTAACAGGCAGGCCACGGACGAGGGAGGGCCCTGGAGGAAGGACACCGGGCGGTCGGCGGAGAAATCGCCCCGCTGCTTGCCCTCGGGCGAGCTTCGAACCGAGAAGTAGGTGTCGGCGAAGTGGATGTCATCGAAGGAGTCCCGGCCGCCGATGGCCATATAGCGCTGGGAGAAGAAGTCGCAAAACCGGAGCTCGGAATCCAGGTTGGGGGACCTTGTGCTGGGCAGGTAGTGGACGGTGCGGAACGATGGGACCGATGATGCCCTTGCACCAGGGCCGTCTGGCGGCCCAAGGAGCAGCAGCAGCAGCAGCAGCAGCAGGAGCAGCAGCAGCGGCAGCAACGGCCGCGGCCTCAGGCCCCGCGGAATCCGGAATGGACAGGGGCCGGCCCCGGTGGCTGACATGCTGATGCCGGACGATCGGGGTCCCGGTGTGTGGAGGGGCTCCAAAGGGGGGGGGGCGAGGGGGCGAGTGCAAGGCAAGGGCAGCAAGGGGAGGGGGAGGCGACGGGGAGGGCCGAGGCGTTGGGCGACCGTAGAGACCAGACTGGCCCACACCCGGGCACGCCGGCGGGAGGGTGGATTATATAGCCGCGGGGCAGGAGCCAGGAAAAGTAAACAAAAATGGGAAACATTCCCAAGCATGTTTCAATGTTTGTTTGGTTCCCTCCGAGATCTTCCGGATCAGGGGGCGAGAACCCGAACGGCGGGGGGGGGGCGCGCCTCACGGGGGGCGATTCCCAGGGCCGGGAGAGGTGGGCGGGGCGCTACTAGCAGTGCTATCTGGCCGTCCCCCTCGCGCAACAAAGGCCCCGCCCGCGGACGCGGGAAGTGCCATCCTTTTCACCCAACGGCGGGGGGTCCGGGCGTACCGTTATTATGCCGGCGTCTGGCTGGCCATCACAATGTGGCGTTTGCGGATGTGCGCCGAACGCCGCGTGTCCGGCCGACCCGGCTCCCACGAATCGGCCCCTTGGTGGGGTGCTCCATTCGTCCGATGCCCGTGACTTCTGGCAGATCATATGCCCGATCGGTCTCCTGGTCTCTCTCGCGCGCCGGTGTCCGACACGGGGCTGCCCTCTCCTCCCGGTGTGGGACCGTGGCCTTTCTTTTCTTTCGGTGACCCGCCCCGGGCCCCGGGAATGGCTCTTCCTCCAGCACCACCCTCTCTTTCGCCCGGCTTTTGCCCCCCACCACCTGCATGTATGGCGGTCGTCTGTTTCCTCCCTCTTTTGAGCTCCTCCCGTCTTCGGGCTCTCCCTTGCACATTCCCCGTCTCGCGCCTTCGCTCGCCCCCACTCGGCCTCTCTCCCGGGTCCGCTGGGCTCGCCGCTGTTCCTGTCCATCCGCCGGCCCACCAATGCCTGGCAAGGAAGGCGCACACGATCCGCGGAGCTCCGGCCCCTCCCATAGCCGGCAAGCTACCAATACCAAGTGCCCCGGCGGTTGCCATCGACCTGGTGGGTTTTTGTGGGCAGGGATTCGCCCTGGGGCGGGCGGAGATGTCGGGAATTCCATCCTGCTCACGACCAGCGGTCGCCGGCAGCCGGGCAAACGGGCTCGGGCATGGCCGACGCCGATGTGCCTGTCCTCCCTGCCTCTCCGATGGGGGCACCCTCTCGCCTTCTGGACACGAACGCTGTAGCACCCCCCCCCCCTGCAGCACCACAACATTTTATGCCTCGGGGCTGTGGACCACGCCAGATACGAGCGCATGCTCCAGGCCACACGCAGATAGAGCCCCAAAGCCGTGAGGCTGCACCTCGCGCACCACTCCGAGGGCACTCCGCGCGCGTGAAAAAAGAAACAGGATGTCAGCCATCGGGAACCCAAACAGCGGCACGCGTGGCTCGCTCCGAAGATCGGCCAGCATCCGAAAGGTCGCGCGCCCGGCCGCGGGTCTGCCAGGGGAGGCGACTCACCACCGCCAGGAGGCGCGCCACAACCGTGGCCCCGAGTCTCGAGGCGGGACCGGCGGACATTCGAGCGGTGCGCGTGGCTCCGGCTTGCTGGCCCTCCGGGGCACCCGGCAAGAGGCTCCGCCTTGGTCCATGAACCCCACCGCCGCCGGGGCCGGCCAAGCGGGCCGCGCGATCGGGGCCCTCGGGCGACACCCACGAGGCGCCGACCGAAAAGTCGCCGGGCATCAGGGAGGCTGACGCGGCGCCCTGGCACCCGATCGCCTCAATGTGGGTCCGATCGAATGGCGAGCCTGAGCTGAGCGCCTCGAGGCGCTCGGCATGGGTGATCGACCGGATATGCCGGGGGACATCCAAGCACGCCAGAGGCCGGGGGAGGCCCGGCCAGGGGGCCGCCCCGGGGCAGGCCAATTCCCCACCGCCAGCGGGCAGACGGGCATTCGCCCAAACAATAGCACCCCTGAAGGATCGTTGCCATAACGGGCAGGAACGATGAATTCCGGCACGCGTGGGCGCAGGCTCTTTGTCCCTGGGGCTGGTGGGACATTCATCGAGGGGGCGCACTTCGGCCACCTCCGCCGCCCTGAGCGCATGAGGAGGGGGACGACCGGTGTGAAAATCAACTGCCAACGGTCGGGATTTACCTCCGCTGATCGGAGCGCGCGCGGCTTGCCCTTCCGGGCGGATCTGCCGGCCGCCCGGTTCCCTGGGGATGTTGTTGGTCGAAATCTCCTGACGCGGCGCCCTGCACTTGTGTGAGTCTGGCGGCTGGGCATGCTTGCAACCTGGGGCTTTTGCCGGACAAAAGGTGGGCTGCTCCTTGTTATGGGTTATGTGTATAGCCATGCACATGTTATTATGTATATATTATATCCACGTACACCCACGTACACCCACGTACGCCCGTGTGCACACCCATGTACACACATATGTATACGCATATACACGCACACACCCCGTGCGAAGGGGTGATAATGCCTCAGCATTCACTCCGGCAGGTGGTGTCGGTCCCTCACGGGGAATCGTGTGAGGTCCACCGGGCTGGGTTTGTGTAGCCCTGCCTGAGGAGTCTGGAGGGGGGGG